ATATATCTGAGTAGAATCTACGAGACAATCTCTGTAAAATCACCACCACAGCCACAAAGAGAAGCTGTTCCCTTTACTTCACCAAGCATAGGGGCATTAACCTTAACAAGCTAAAAAATGAAGTGTAAGACCAGCCCAGTGACCATGACAGCAGCTGACAAGCTCACACAAAGGGGATGCCCTCAAAGTGAAATGAGGGACACTGAAGACATAGGGTAGAGACCTGGGACCAATGCCCTGAGCTACAATAGCCAGGAGCTTCTAAACCACCATCCTCAAACCATAGGAGGAAAGTGTACATTTCCCAAGATCTGGCTGCAAAGTGAGAAAGTGAAGAAGAGACCCTGGGCCATGTTTTATTCAGAGTGTGACTTGTTCTGGACAAGGTGTCTGGAAAAACACACAAACCAATAATACTGATATCTTAACAAACAGACCAAGACCACTTAAACACACCAAATGATGGTTTCTGTAGGAAGCAATCTCCTTGGATGACTTAGAGTTACAGGTTTTCACAGAGAGTTGTCCAAAGTTAGTTAGCATGGGCTGCCTTAAATTGCAGTGAGCATCTCACCACTGGATGGGATGAATACTTGGTAGCATTGCAAAGGGGATATTGATGGAAATGGACTGATTCCGGTACAGAAATTCAGCTGTTTCAGCACTTCCAGTTGATGATACAGGGCAAGCAGCTTCCATACAAGCTATGGCATTTGGGTTTAACCACGATTCTGATATCTGGATTTATTTATTTAGAGAAGGAGTTTTGCTCTTGTTGCCCAGGCTGGAGTGCAGTGGTGTGATCTCTACTCACTGCATCCTCTGCCTCCCGGGTTCAATCGATTCTCCTGCCTCAGCCTTCCGAGTAGCTGAGATTACAGGTGCCTGCCAACATGCCTGACTAATTTTTTTTTGTAGTTTTAGCTGAGACAGGGTTTCACCATGTTGGCTAGGCTGGTCTCGAATTCCTGACTTCAGGTGATCCACCTGCTTTGGCCTCCCAAAGTGCTGGGATTACAAACCTGAGCCACTGCGCCCAGCCTGATATCTGAATTTATTTTGTGCTTTGTTTACCACTCTTTCTCTCTCTGTTTATTCTTACCAAAAACAAATTCTGTTTTAATAAAAAAGCCTGACCGCCAATGAGCACTGTCTAAAGCAGTGCATAGAGGGCGAGCATATGCTTTAGACTTCGATCAATAGGGTTCAAATCTTGGCTCTGCCCCTTACTAGCTGTGTGGTCTTGGGCAAATTAGGTAGGTACTGTGTACTTGAGCTTCTAATCGTAAGTGGCGTAATACCTGATAGGACTGCGTGAAGACTGTATCAATGCAGGTAAAGCATCAGGGCAGCACCTGCTTCTTTGTCAAGTCTCCATAAGTGTTGGTGATTGTGAGGTTTGTGTCTGGGGTCTGAAAGTACATCTTGAGGAATGGTCCAATACAGCCTGAGCCAGGGCAACGTCTCCACGTTGAAGGGCCTGCATCCTTAGTCGAGGGAGAAGTCTCATCAGATGAACTGGTAGATGGTGCCTTTGATTGCCTGTGGCCCCACAGCTCAGTGACTACACAGTAATTGCCACTAATACCATGCTGGCCTACCTGCCCAGACACTTCAAGAACCTTGGGAAAAGGGTAGAGAGGGCTTTGAAACGTACTTTGTTTTTAAATTTTAAAAATATTTTTAGCTTTTATTTTAGAATCAGATGGTACATGTGCAGGTTTGTTACATGGCATATTACATGATGCTGAGGTTTGGGGTATGACTGATCCCATTATCCAGGTACTGAGCATAGTACCCAGCAGTTAGATTTTCAACACTTGCTCTCTTCCCTCTTCCCCCATCTGATGGTCCCAATGTGTCTGTTGTTCCCAATTTTAAGTCCATGTGTGCTCAGTGTTTAGCTTCCCCTTATAAGTGAGAATATGTGGTATTCCTGCATTAATTTGCTTAAGATAATGGCCTCCAGCTGCATCCATTTTGCTGCAAAGGACACGATTTTGTTCTTTTTTATGGCTACATAGTATTCCATGGTGTATAGGTACTACATTTTTCTTTATCCATTCCACTGTTGATGGGCACCTAGGTTGAGTCCATGTCTTTGCTATTGTGAATAGCGCTGTGATGAACATAGGAAGGCATGTGTCTTTCTTGTAGAATGATCTATTTTCCTTTAGGTATATAGCCAGTAATGGGGTTGCTGGATTGAACGGTAGCTCTGTTTTAAGCTCTTTGAGAAATCTTCAAACTGCTTTCCACAGTGGCTGAACTAATTTACATTCCCACCAACAGTGTATTAGTGTTCCTTTTTCTTTGCAACCTCACCAGCATCTGTTATTTATTGACCTTTTAAATGATAGCCATTCTGACTGGTGTAAGATGGCATCTCACTGCAGTTTGGATTTGCATTTCTGTGATGATTAGTGATCATGAGCACTTTTTCATATGTTTGTTGGCTACTTGTATGTCTTTATTTGAGCAGTGTCTGTTGATGTCTTTTGCCCACTTTTTAACGGTGTTACTTGTTTTTTTACTTGTTAAGTTTCTTATAAATTCTGGATATTAGACCTTTGTTGAATGCAGTTTGTGAATATTTTCTCCCATTCTACAGGTTGTCTTTTACTCTATTGATAGTTTCTTCCACTGTGCAGAAGCTCTTTAGTTTAATTAGGTCCCACTTGTTAATTTCTGTTTTTGTTGCAATTGCTTTTGAGGACTTAGTCATAAATTCTTCTCCAAGGCAGGTGCTCTGAATGGTGTTTCCTAGGCTTTCTTCCAGGATTATTATAGTTTGAGCTCTTACATTTAAATATTTAAACCACCTTGAGTTAATTTTTGTATATGGTGAATGGTAGGGGTCCAGTTTCATTCTTCTGCGTATAGCTAGCCAGCTATCTCAGCACTATTTATTGAGTAGAGAGTCCTTTCGCCATTGATTATTTTTGTCAACTTTGTCAAAGATCAAATGGCTGTAGATGTGTGGCTTTATTTCTGAGTTCTCTATTCTGTTCTATTGGTTTATATGCCTGTTTTTGTACCAGTACAATGCTGTTTTGGTTACTGTAGCCTTATAGTATACTTTGAAGTTGAGTTACATGATGTCTCTGGATTTACTTAGGATTTTGCTTTCGCTATTCAGGCTGTTTTTTGGTTCCATATGAATTTTAGAATCATTGTTTCCAATTCTCTGAAAAATGACATTGGTAGTTTGATAGGAATAGTATTGAACCTGTAGATTGTTTAGGGCAGTGTGCACATTTTAGTGATATTGATTCTTCCAATCCATGAGCATGGAATGTTTTCAGTTTGTTTGTGTCATCTCTGATTTCTTTTAGCAGTGTTTTTAGTTCTCCTCAGAGAGATCTTCCACCTCCTTGATTAGCTATAGTCTTAGGTATTTTTTTAGTGTGTGTGTCTGTTGTAAATGGGATTGTGCTCTTTATTTGACTCCCAACTTGAATGTTATTGGTGTATAGAAATGCTACTAATGTTTGTACATTGATTTTGTATCCCAAAACTTTACTCAAGTCTTTTATCAGTTCCAGGAATTTTCTGCAGAGTCTTTAGGGTTTTCTGGGTATAGAATCATATAATCAGTGAAGAGAGAAGTTTGACTTCTTTTCCGATTTGAATGCCTTTTGTTTCTCTCTTTTGCCTTATTGATCTGGCTAGAACTTTCTGAAAGGTACTTTAAATATTGCTCTCTATCACTTTACAAGTAACATTTCTATTTTTTTCTGGTTATTGCAAAAGGAATCTTTTTCTTTCTTTCTTTCTTTCTTTCTTTCTTTCTTTCTTTCTTTCTTTCTTTCTTTCTTTCTTTCTTTCTTTTCTTTCTTTTTCTTTCTTTCTCTTTCTTTCCCTCCCTCCTTCCCTCCCTCCCTCTTTCTTTTTCTCTCTCTCTCTCTTTCTTTCCCTCCCTCCTTCCCTCCCTCCCTCTTTCTTTTTTTCTTTCTTTATTCTTTCTCTCTTTCTCTTTCTTTCTTTCCTTCTCTTTCTTTCCCTCTCCTTCCTTCCTTCCTTCCTTCCTTCCTTTCTTCCTTCCTTCCTTCCTCCCTCCCTCCCTCCCTCCCTCCCTTCCTTTTGAGACAGTGTCTCACTCTTTCACCCAGGCTGGATTGCATTGGCATGATTGTAGCTCATTGCAGCCTCGAACTCCTGTGCTCAAGCGATCCTCCTGCCTTGGCATCCCAAAGTGCTGGGATTACAGGCTTGAAGGAATGTGTTTTCTTTATGGCAAAATTGGAAAATCTAGAAAAGACAAAAAGCAAAATTAAAAACCACCTCTATCCTGTCACCTAGAGATAACCACATGTGCAAGCATGTAATTCCAGCACTGTTTTTATGTGATCATTAATAGCTATATTTATTTAGTGTTAGCTATGTGTTTTATTAACATATGTGTTTCCCACTTTGGTCTCATTTATTCTCATGACTTTGTGAAGCAGGTGTCTTTTTTTTTTTCATTTTACAGATTAAAAAACAGGTTCAGAGAAATTTGACTTGCTTAAGGTCACTGTTCATTCTCTTATATAAAATACTTTCAACAATATATTATAAGCTTTTCCTCCACAATTCAACATATTTCCACAACATTATTAAGGCTTTTACAAGTTTAATTTTATAAGTAGGTAATACATTCGTGAGGTTAAAAAGATATGAACAGGTTGGTGGGAACGTAAATTAGTTCAACCATTGTGGAAGACAGTGTGGCGATTCCTCAAAGACCTAGAACCAGAAATACCATTTGACACAGCAATCCCATTAGTATACACCCAAAGGAATATAAATCACTTTATTATAAAGATACATGCACATGTATGTTCACTGCAGTACTATTCACAATAGTAAAGATATGGAATAAACCCAAATGCCCATCAATGATAGACTGGATAAAGAAAATGTGGTACATACACACCGTGGAATACTATGTGGCCATAAAAAGGAAGAAGATCATGTCCTTTGCAGGGACAGGGATGGAGCTTGAAGCGTTGTTTTTGGTCATTAGTTATCATTAGTTTATAATAAAGGAGAAATATGGAAATTATTTACATGATGAAAGATTTCAGAACTTCAGTGGAATGGGCAGCTTCATGTTGATGCCATTTCAACGGGGACTTATTTCAGTCTATGTACTTTCCAAGAATGTCACTATCTCTAAATAGGAAATAATCCTTGTCATCTAGAACTACTTTGGTGCCTCCATATTCTGGCAGAAGAACTTTATCTCCAACTTTCATGCTAATTGGTTGAATCTCTCCACTGTTTCCTTTAGAACCCAATCCAACAGCGACTACTGTTGCTTGCAATATTTTTCCTTGAGATTTTTCTGGAAGCATAATGCCTTCTTTGGTTACAGTTTCAGCAGCACTCCTTTCAACCAATACTCGGTCAAAGAGTGGAAGAAACTTTCTGAACGCTTGTCCTGCCATGACTCCCTCCGCCTCAGACTCGTACTCTGCTGTAGCGTAGCGCCACAAGGAGAGACTCGCGGTCCGGCCCTGGCGACACGTCAAAAAACCGGAGCTTGAAGCCTTTATCGTCAGTAAACTAATTCCGGAACAGAAAACCAAACACCGCATGTTCTCACTTATAAGTGAGAGCTGAACGACGAGAACACACCCCGGGGCTTGATGGGCGGTGTGCGGGGAGGGAGAGCATCAGGATAAGTAGCTAATGTATGTGGGGCTTAACACCTAAGTGATGGGTTGATAGGTGCAGGAAACCACCATGACACACTTTTACCTATGTAACAAACCTGCACGTCCTGCACACGTATCCCTGAACTTAAAATAAAATTATATATATATGGGTTTATAGTAAAGAGTTTCCTTTCACCTTTGTGCCCCATCTGACCAGTCCTCCTACCAATACCTTGTTCTTTCTTGAGTCTCTTTCCAGAATCTCATGATTACATAAAGAAATATACATATATGTTTTTATTTTTCTGCAAAATATTGCATGCTATAAACACTGTTCCTCACCTCGTTTTTTCACTTAACAAAGTATCTGGGAGAATTTTCTATATTAAATATATAGAGAACTTTCTCATTTCTTTATACCACTCTGCAGTAGTCTACTATATGAACATACTACAATTTATTTAACCAATTCAGTATTGACAGACATTTGAATATTTTCCTCCATATTTTGCCCTTTGAATAACACTGTGATGCATAACATGGCAAATGAGCCATTTTATATTTTTAAAAGGCTCCATGGTACTCCTGTTGAGTTATGTGCTGCAATTTATTTAACCAATCCACTAAGGATGGATATTTAGGTTACTTCTGGGCTTCCCCTTATGATAAATAATGCCCCTGTGAACATTTCTGCCCATAAGCCCTTGTGCTCACTTTTGATCTTTCTTTAAGGGAAATGTTATGAGCATCATTAAGACTTTCAATACATACTGCACACCTGCCTCCAGGAAAAGCAGTGACAATTGCTGGTGGCTGGGTCTGAGAAGGTTGATGCCTGGTAAAAGTGACCCAAAAGGACATTCTTGGGAGATGGCAGCTGGGGGTACATGAGAGAAATGAGGAAGGGTAGCTCAAGTCACAGGTCAGGAGCAGCCAGAGCTGGAAAGTCCTTCAGACCTCTTTACCAAGAAAGTAACCATGCTCAGTGAGAGGAAAAGCCTTACCTGAGTTCATATGGGCTGGAGCTGGGACTGAGTCTTGGAACTTCTGAGTCACTGCTTAGGCCATAGCTCAGTGATTAGGGACATGAGCTCTGAACTCGGACTACCTGGTTTTGAATTCTCTTAAATCTTTGCTAGCTTCATGCTTTGGCACAGGGTACCATACCTCTTTTAGGCTCTCTTTGCTAGCTTCGTGTTTTGGCACATGGTACCATACCTCTTTCAACCTCAGGTTCCTCACCTATAAAACAGAACACACTCCATTTAATTGTTGTAGGGAATTAAAGTAGATAATCTGGTATAGCACAGTGGCCAGCACACATTTAATTTTTTTATGTTATTAAATGTATCTGTCATCATTATCATTATCAATTTATTCCTGGTGTCTCTGAGTTAATCCAAATAAAAATGAGCAGCATGGGAGATACTGCTAGGTGCCAAGTAAGACTCAGGCTGTTGATAGATAGATACACTTTGATGGCTATAGGGATGTCCTAGTATCTCCAAAGGTCAAATCACTTATTCTGCTATAGGCCTCTTCTCCAAGTCTTGAAGTTCTGGAGGCAGAGGTCTTGGGGACAAGCAGGCTGAAAGATAGTTTCCATCCATTTCTTTTTTTATTGATACAAATATTTGTACACATTTATGGGATACATGTGATAGTTTATTATATTTGTTACACAGACTGTGTAATGATCAAGTCAGGGTGTTTGGAGTGTCCATCACCTCAAGTATTTATCATCCCTATGTTATGGAAACATTTCAAGCCCTCTCTTCTAGCTATATTGAAATACATGATATATTGTTGTTAGCTATAGTCACCTTACTCTGCTATCAAACATTAGAACTTATTCCTTCCATCTATCATCTAACTGTATGTTTGTATCCATTTGCCAACCTCTCTTTATCCCTCCCCCTAATGCCTTTCCCAATCTCCCCATTTCTTCTTTTATGTCCTAGAAGATTGGACCACTCTGACTGACTAGAGGTACTCTTCACTTTGTGAAACCCCCCGTGGTCCCCTGATAGTGCAGGGCTTTCTGGCTGCTAGTGTAACCTGGTCCGCTAATCATTCATTAATTCAGCAAATATGTATTAAGGGTCCACTATGTGTAAGGTGGTAAGGATTCAATGTGAACAAACACTTGATTCTTGCTTAAACGAAGCTTAGTATATAGCGGGGGTGTATCAGTCAGCTATTGCAGTATAACAAACAACTCCAATATTTTAGTAGCATGCAGCAATAAGCATTGGTTTTGCTCATGCCTCTGTGGTTGGCTAGGGTATGACTGATCTAGCTGGGCTCAGTGGGGCATTCTAAGTTGCAGGGTGAGTCTGGGCCTGATCCACACAACTTTTGTCCTCCTTGTGCCAGAGGACTAGCTGGGCATGTACTTCTCATGGTGATGGCAGAAGCACAAAAGCCCTCTTAAGTTCTAGATTCAGAAATGAGAAATGGCACACCATCACTTCCACCCGCATTCCATCAGCTAAAGCAACTCATATGGCTGAGATCAAAGTTACAGGATGGAGATTGCAAAACCATATGGCAAAAGGTGCAGGCGAAGGGAAGGATAAAGAATTGGGGACAGTTTTTCAGTCTGTCACAGAGGAACACAGACATTAATCCAATCGTCCCACAAAATGTAATTATAAACTGTGACTCATTTTGCGAAGAAAAGTTCCTGAGTATGATAGACAGAACTGACCTGGTTAGAGGCACTAGGGACAAGTTTCCTAAAGAAATGATGTTTAGGATGAGAGTTCAGGATGACAGGGAAAGACATCCAGCAAAAGGAAACAGCACATGCAAAGTTCCCAGGTCAGGTGGAAGCTCGTATTCTGAGCAAGGAAGAAGGAGTGAGATGAATTTGGAGAAGTGGGCAGAGACCATATTATCAAAACTCTTGTATTAGTCTGTTTTTGCACTGCTATAAAGAAATACCTGAGACTGGATAATTTATAAAGAAAAGAGGTTTAATTCGCTCACAGTTCTGTAGGCTGTACAGGAAGCATGGCCTCAGAAAACTTACAATCAAGGTGGAAGGCAAAGGGGAAGCAGGCATGTCTTACATGGTCAGAGCAGGAGGAAGAGAGAGAACGCGGAGGGGCCACACGCTTTTAAAAAACCAGCTCTCGTGAGCAGTCACTCACTATCATGAGAACAGCACGGAGAAATAAATCTGCTCCCATGACCCAATCACCAGGCCTACCTCCAAATGGGGATTACATTTCAACATGAGGTTTGAGCAGGAACACAAATCCAAACCATATCACCCCTGAAAGCTCTGCCAAGGATTTCGATCTTGGTCCTAAGAGCAGCTCATGTCTTGGAAATGCAGAGTACTGACTTCTTGTCTGTTCCTTTGCTAGGAGTATGCCCATCCTTCTCCTTGCACAGTCCTGTTCGTCCCTCAGGGTGCATCAGGAATATCACCTTCAGAAGCATTTTAGCTTCTCTGATATTATGGACTGAGTGTTTATGTTCCTCCCCGCCAAATTCACATGTTGAAATCCTAATGCCTAATGTGATGGCATTAGGAGGCAGGGCCTTCGAGAGGCAATTAGGTTTTGAAGATGGAGACCTCATGAATGGGAATAATGTCCTTATAAAAAGGGCTCCAGAGAACTCTCTTGTGTCCTCTTTTCACTGTGTAAGGATAAAACAAGAAGTCATCAATCATCAGCCAAAGAAAGCCCTCATCCCTATCTGACCTTACTGGCACCTTGATCTTGGACTTCCAACCACCAGAATTCTGATAAATAAATTTCTGTTGTTTATAATCCTCCTAGTCTGTCAGAGCCATACCTCATTTTATTGCATGTCTCTTTATTGCACTTCACAGATTATTGCACTTCCTACAAATTGAAGGTTTGTGGCAACGCTTGTGAGCATCAAGCAAGTCTAACAGCCCCATTTTCCCAATAGCATGTTTTTACTTTTTGTCTCTACATAAAATTTTGGTAATTCTTGCAATATTTCAAACTTTTTCATTATGTATATATAATATAATATAATATATTATATATAATATATATTATACATATAATGACCTATAATAAGTGATCTTTGATAAAACTATTGTAATTGTTTTTGGGCACCATGAACCCCACCCGTATAAGAAGGTAAACTTAATCAATAAAAGTTGTATGTGTTCTGACTCCCCTCAACCAGACATTCTCTGGTCTCTCTCCTCCTCCTCAGCTCTTCCTATTTCCTGAGACAAAACAATATTGAAATTAGGCCCATTAATAACCTTACAACAGCCTCTAAGTGTTCAAATAAAAAAAAAAAAAGTTGCATATCTGTCACTTTAAATCAAAAGCTAGAAATGATTAAGCTTAGAAGGCATGTCAAAAGCCAAGACAGGCCAGAAGCTAGGCCTCTTGAGCCAAACAGTTAGTCAAGTTGTGAATGCAAAGGCAAGGTTCTTGAAGGAAATTAAAAGTTCTACTCCACTGAGCACATGAATGATAAGAAAGTGAAACAGCCTTATTGCTGATTTGAAGAAAGTTTTAGTGGTCTGGATAGAATATCAAACAGCCACAACATTCCCTTAAGCCAAAGCCAAATCCAGAGCAAGGCTCTAACTCTCTTCAGCTCTATCAAGACTGAGAGAGATGAGGAAGCTACAGAAGAAAAGTTTGAAGCTAGCAGAAGTTAGTTCTTTAGGTTTAAGGAAAGAAGCCATCTCCATAACATAAAAGTATAAGACGAAGCAGCAAGTGCTGATGGAGAAGCTGCAGCAAATTACCCAGATGCTCTAGCTGAGATCATTGATGAAGGTGGCCACACTAAACAACAGGTTTTCAATGTAGTTGAAACAGCCTTCTATTGGAAGAAGATGCTATATGGGACACTCATAGCTAA